GGGTGTGGCGGGCGCCCCCCTCTGCTCAGCCCCTGCCAGCCTTCTGCCCTTCAGGTGTAAAGAGCCTACACACTCAGCCGGGTTTCAGGCTTTCAAGCTTCCATTTCTTAAAACCTAGCGGATACACGTGTTGTGCCTCATTTAAACATTGGCAGTCTTTAAGGCAGACGTTTTTGGCCCTAAATCCCTTTTTAGATGTTCTTTTACGCTTCTCCAGAGTTTTTAAATGAAGACGTTTAACCCATTGTTTATAGGTTGAGACTGACAACACTTTTAAACATCACACAGACTCAAATAGGAACATTATATGCTATTATTTTGGTCGTCTAGTATTTGTTTAGGTGCTTTTATATTTTGGCTGGTTAATATGGAATGAAAACACAAAGCACTGTTAGAAATGTATAATCTGAAAGCATTTTGAACTTGCAGTGTTAAAGTGACTCACCTTATAAGCTTTATGGTTAATCTTTGTAGTAATTGTGAGAATTTAATTAGAAGCTGTCCAAGATAAACCATATATCGTGGTTGTCATTTGTGAAATTTACTTTCACATGGATTTTTATATTTGTTTTCATGCTCTTGGTAGGTAACATGAATAACAACTAATAGTGCTTTGGATTTTGGTATATAAAAGTACATTTGGAGTACAAGACGTTGACTTAGGGACAGCTTCTTTATTCTCCAGACTATTCTGCTTTGTTGAAGTCTAGAAAACCATTCTTTGTTCTAAGTGAGTTGGGTTGAAGTGGACTAAACACATTTTCCTGTGTCACAGAAGTGAGCTTGTAGTAGACAAAACAAAGAGAAAAAAACGAAGAGAGCTCTCTGAAGAACAGAAGCAAGAAATTAAAGATGCCTTTGAGCTCTTTGATACCGACAAAGACCACGCAATAGATTATCATGAATTAAAGGTAACAATGTATTTGATGACACATCTCTTTTGTTTAAATGAATTGCACTTTTGACTGTTGCTTTAAAGTCTATTTTAAAAACTTGTTTTAGAACCCTGAAGCTGTTTTCAGTATCCACTTACAGGGGCTGCAATAAAATTGAATAAAAAACCCTAATATGGCTTTTAGAAACTCGTATTTAAATGTAAAAGTACATTTGGTGGGAAGTAAGGCTTTTTCATTCACCCAGGTGAAAGAACAGTTCTTAGCTTATTCTTCCCATTTTTGGTTTCTTCTGGAGGACGGAGTAGCTCAGATTCTTTAAAAAAAACATGTATGTGGCATGTGCATGTGCATGTGCCTGTGCAGGCATGTAAACCACATTGTGTAGTGTGTGGAAGGCAGAGTGGGGCTTTGTGTATCTTTCATCACCGTCTACCTTACTGCCTGGAGACAGGGCACCTCACTGAATTGGAAGCTCATAGCCTAGGTTGGCTAGAGAGTGAACTCTGGAATCACATCCCGATCTACCCCTCAATGCTGGGGTTACGGACACTTGTAGCCATGCCTGTCTTTATGTGGGTGGTTACAGTTCCAGTTCTGGTCCTCGTGAGTGCAGGACAAGCGCTCTTATCCACTGAGCTATCACTTAAGCACAGCACAGACAATTTTCAGATTGAGAGAGTGTTACCTTTGCTCAGATGTTTCCGAGATTGAAAATGTAGCCTTTCAAGCTCTTATTATTTATCTTTATTTTACATTTTTGTTGGACAAGGTTTCTTTATGTAACAGCCCTGGCTGTCCTGGAACTCAGCTTTGTAGACCAGATTGACCGAGAACTCACAGATTTGTTTGCCTCTGCCTCCCAAGCGCTGGGATTAAAGGCATGCAACACCACCACCTGGCTCAATCTTTGAATTTTCAAAGATAATACGGACAAACTCTTATTTTTCTTTTCTTTGCTACAAAGGATGTACATTGTCTGATGCCTTATGTTGATACATGCTGAGGGACTATGTCAAATTTAAGGCTTAAAATTACTAGTAAAGGAGCTGGGCGGTTGTGGTGCACACCTTTAATTCCAGCACTTGGGAGGCAGAGGCAGGCGGATCTCTGTGAGTTTGAGACCAGCCTGGTATACAAGTTCCAGGACAGCCTCCAAAGCCACAGAGAAACCCTGTCTCCAAAAACAAAAACAAAAACAAACAAACAAACAAAAAAATCCAAAACTACTAGTAAAGATTGGAGAAATTGGTGAGGATCTTATTCAGCCTACTAGCATTTATGAAATCTTTTAGTAGCCTTAATGTTTATAGTAGTTTTAATTCGGCAACATTGTAGGGGGGTTTTAAGCAATCTAAGTATGGGTAGGAACTATGTAGTGAGAGGATAGAATGTCTAACAGTAGTAATAGGCCTGGCCCTTTAGCTTCACTCTAGAGGTCATTCTTTAGCTCATTCCCCATCACACTATCCTGTTGTAGCTGCTGCTACCCATTCCCCAGATAGTGTGAGTTATTCCTGTACTGTGTCCTAGCCATTTGTTGTCACTGATTCTCACGATTGTCATTGGGACTTCACTTCATAGCAGGAGCTTTTTCACTTCCGGTTTGCCTTTTATACTGCCCTTAAGTTTACGTCTTTCCAATTCTTTGACCATGTTCATTGCTCATAAACCTTGACTGTATTTTTACTTTTGAATGCTGTATTTTTTTCCCACTACTTTTCTCTCTTGCTAATTACTTCTACCCAAACTCTTCCCATCTAGAGAAAGTAAACAGCCTGTTCATTGTCCCTCTGTCCTAGTCTTCCTTTCAGCACCTCTTGTGATCCCACATCCTCTCTACCAACTCTTTTCCTGTTCTTTAAGGGCTGGTTTGACTGTAGTACTTCACTAACTAGTGGCACATCTTCCCTTTCCTGTTACTAACAGCAAAGTGCTTCTGTTTAAATTACCCTTAGACTAATCAGTTGGTAGCTAATCATAGTTGCTCTGATGGGAACTTGTTTGTTGAGAAAGGATTTCTTTTTCTTTGTGTTTTGTGTCCCATACTAGTTTCAATTTATGACAGTCCTGTCTCAGGCTCCTGAGTGGTAAGATTATAAAGTTCATGCAATTTTATGCTTTTATTTATTTTTTTGTGACAGGATTTTTCTGTGTTAACACTTCTCAATGTCCTGAAACTCCCTTTGTAGATCAGGCTGGCCTCCAACTCACAGAGATCCATCTGCCTCTGCCTCCCTAATGCTGGGAGTAAAAGCATGTGCCACCATGGCAGACTGCTTTTATTCTTTTGGTTAGCCTTTTAATATTTATGTCATGTCTTTAATCCTTTGGTAACAAATGAATTATCTGTGTATTTAGTGCATTGTGTTATGTATTTTGTGTAAATTCTCTTTTAATTAGTTGGTTATATAAAAGCAAAATATCAATGAAAAAATTCTATTTAATTTCAAAATGAAAAACCAATTTAGTATCATTTTGTTATTTTAGAGATATAAAAATGCAGAATAATTGTGCTTTAGTAATATGTTGTCATCTTTTAAAATGTAAACTTTCTTAGATATCAATGATTGCTTCTTTTGAGAGCTTTATAATTTGTTTTTCCCTTTTAATCCAAAAGGTGGCAATGAGAGCCTTGGGTTTTGATGTGAAAAAAGCTGATGTACTGAAGATTCTTAAAGATTATGACAGAGAAGCCACAGGCAAAATCACCTTTGAAGATTTTAATGAAGTTGGTGTGTACTTAAGTAGTCTTTGTTACCAGTGTTTGTTGGGAAATTATGAGGTTTTTGTTTGTTTTCAAAGAAAAAAATACCCTGAGCTGTACTATGAGAATTAGTTTTGATGATTTTAACAGGGCATTATTGTGTCATTTTTTCTGGTTTATTAATATTATGCCACTAAACGGTGACCAAAAATTACTTGCCAGTTAAACAGAAAGTTTAGTGTGCTGATGTTGAGGAAGTATTTCTGAAGACTGCTGCACTGTGCAATTTTTGTTGGTAAAGAAGGAGAAGACAGTAGTAGTAGGACTTGGTGTCTTGGTGGGAGATGGGGAGATGAATACATCTTCTAAAGTGGACAATTTCTGAGGCTCAGTGCTCTTAACAACCCTAATTTTAGTGATGTGTGTCATCTGCTGTGAAGTTGAGGCAATGGATGGGCTGTTGTAAGGGAGATCTCTGACAGACTGGACACATGAGAACTTGTTTTAGATAGTATGAGCTTAGTTTGGCTTACATTTTGGATATTTGGTTTTAATGTGAGTTACTCATGCTATACAGATGAGGCTTTTTCAGTTGAGGATTCTGGAAGGCTATTGTATAATTGCCTACAATGTTATACATAGAATATATAAATATTTAGGTTCAGTTTTGTTAAGCTACTGTTCTAAACCAATGATAATACTTCAGGGATCATAATCTAAGCATGCCATGCAGTTAGTTTCATATATTTCAAAAACTGAAAACTAATGCAATTATACATACATACATACGAAACCTTTATTTAATCTTAAAGGAGAAGTACTCGGGGAAAGAAAAAGAAATGGTAATGAGAAGACAGAAAATAGATTTATATTCTCTCTTTCTCTCATTAAAAAAGTCCCACCTAAAGCACAGGAGATAGAGGTAAGATGACAAATCTAAGAGGAATAAACATTTCTCATAACACAGAAGACCCTCAGCTTAGAAAGTAGTGTATGACTGTTGAGAGAGGCAGACTGTCCATTGTAAAAGCAGATTTATTTTCCCCCTTCTAATTTGTAGAATTATTTCCTTGAGAGGAGAGCAAGAGCCACCTTTCCCTCACAGTGTAGCCTCCTGAGGTTGCTCACAGTAGCTAGGTGTTCACATGGTTTATTTACAGAAGCCAGCTGGCAGTTCATAGTGGAGATGTTACGACTAAAGACAAAGTTGTAATGGAGGCACATACAAAGCATAGACTACTTTAGAACCAGATTCCCTCCCTGACTTCCTGATCTTGGTTCTGACTCTTAAGTATCTGTGAAACTTCATTAGTTTACTTGTCTGTGCCTCATTTTCTCCTATAAAATGGGGATAGTGTAACGTGTAAGGGTTAAGTAGCTGATTAAAATGGGAAATGTTAAATGCTGCAGTACATAGGAAGAGCTAAAAAGTGCTGTTATTATGATTAAGAATAATCCCACCACTCATGAGGCAGAGGTAGCCTATGTACTGTGAGTTTGAGGTCAACCTGGTCTGCATAGTTAGTCTCAGGCCAGCTAGGGCTACATAATGATACCCTGTCTCCAAGAAAAAGAGAGGGGCCGGAGAATGAGTCCTTTGTTTTGTTTGTTTCTGAATTCAGAAGTTGGAAATATATTTGTATTATTGTTGGGACATTAAAACGTTCTATATTCTCATTGTTTTATTTTGGTTTTCATTGTTGAAGACTACTTTAAGCATTGCTATTTATAGTTTTGTAAAACATCTTTTACCTAAATACAATTTTAAGAATTGTAATTTTTATATTTTAATACTTAAGAACAGAGTTTGATACTACCTAGACCTTAGCTTTATGGACCATTTGTTGATGCCTAAGGACACTGACCCAGGGTATTTCCAGATGAGCCTGGCACGTCCTGAGCTTTCCCCATTGTAAGAAAAAAGAATTAACTAATGTCCATTCAGTGCAAGGGTAGTTAGCATCATTCGGCTAATGAGTAGCAGGTGTTTCAGGAGTTGCTGCCTTTAAAGTAAGAGTAGAAGTAAGGTGTTTTTATACTTCATCTGTTCCTGGCTTGTACTACTTATATTTTAAATTCTATCTAAAATCCGATATTGTATTTTTCCATTTTGATCATTTATCTAGCACTGAAATTTTTGCATTTGGTGGGAAGAATGGGGTTAGTTAAAATTACCAAGAAATTGTTTTTAGGACCTTAGATTTAGGTATAGGTGACAACAAACTCTGGTTCTGTGATAGAGGGAGATTGTTAGCTAGGGCCGAAGTTGTCAAACTGTAGGCCCGGGACTGAATTTGACTGCTTACTCTGTACTACCACCCATTTATTTATGCTGCTTTTCTGCTACCAGATTGAGTGAGTAGTTTAGACTGTGAGCTTAAGTCTCCCAAAACCTAAAATGTTTTTCATCTGGCCCTTTATGGGAAATGTCTCTCAAGTCTTCATCGGAGGAACTAAGCCTTTGCATAGGGGAATTTTAATTTAAATCTTCAGGAATCTAAAATTGCCAAGAAGATTGTAAGAGTAGAGGATATGCAGTCGGTGCAGAGAAAGCAACAAGGCTGAGTGGTAATAGATGCTCAGCATGTTGGAGAAGTTTGATCTCATGTGGTCCCCTCTTCTAGAGAAGGTCAGAGCACTGGGAAGGCAGAATTGGGCCAGACTGATAGTCTTAAGTATTGTACTAAAATTTACAGACTGGGATACCATGTTTTACAAGAGTAGCTGATGAGAAGATTGAAGATGAACTGGAGAAATTCTGAGAAGACAGAAAGTTGTAGACTTTATGGTCAGAATTGCTAGATGAAAAGAAAGGCTTGAGTTTGAGAGTAAAATAAGATAGTGTCTTCAGAACTGTAGTATCCAGTGGTAACTGGCACTTATGGGATCCAAAGCCTTACCACTATGTTAGAGTGAATAAATGATGCAGTTACCCTTCAGTCAGTGGAGGTCAAGGAGGCAGCAAAGCCCATAGGTGGCTATGGAAGGACTTGAAGGTCCAGTATCTATGAGTTTGAAATAAGTATTGTATGTTTGGATAGGAACTTTCTAATATTGTCTTTCATGATTTTTGATTTACTTTCAATGTAGTGCTTCAGAATTAGTTGTTTCCTTACATGATTTTTATAACGTCTGATGGGAGGACATTTCTGACAGTGTAGTTAAGTCATGTGTCTCTGTAGTTGGTTATAGTGTGCTTTATGTCAATAAAGTGCAGTACTGCAGTATGAAAATTAAAACAAAAAGTGGTTGAATGGATAGAAATTTGGAGTTTTGTGAAACAGGTGATACCTTGACTGTGTGGGTATTAACTGCTTTAAGTCCTCCTACTGGATTGTAGGCAAGAGCCATCATGCCTGGTTTGTTTCTATTGAAAAAGATATTTCTTTCAAATAGTACTTGTAGAACAGAAATGGAAAGTGAAGGTGTGGAAGAATATCACTGTAAAATACTTTATGTTGGATGACGCTCTAGTTGCTCAGAATTTATGGGCAGTTACAAGTCCTAAGAAAGCTGAATTCTAAAGGAGACTATTGGTAGGTGATTATATAGACACATCTATCTGAAATTCTAATAGAGTGTCAGTGGGTAAGTGCTTGTGCATCTTGGCGTCCCATCTGTTGTTTCTTTAAGTGCATTAGTATTTTCGGCAGTCTGCCTTTCTGGTTTACCTGTCATGGATGTTACTTAATCGATGAAATTTCATAACACTTTTTTCTTGTCCTGCTTTCTTGTTGGGACTGAATTCAAAATAAGTTGAGTGTGTGCCATAGAGTTAAGTGTGGTATTTTATTTTGGTGTTATGGCTGTAGGTATGCCAATTCTTTTTACTGAATATTTATGAGCTTTGATTTGCATACTTAGAGTAATATACTTCAATTAGTTTCTTGGAAACCTTTTTTTGGATAAAATTAATGGCTAAAAGATAATTTTGGATATATGTGTAGTTGATATGTACCATTAGCTTGACTGGTGCTTATTCAGCCAAATACAAATGAAATAGCAATAGACAACAACTTGTAGAAGACTTAAATTGTATTTTTTCCACTTTGGGCATATTAAACATTCCAGTACTTCCTGGCTATAGGCATTTGAAATTTTCAAATGAATCTATAGATCCCATTAGGACCAAATTACTTTTGATGGTGTGATGAAAATAATAAATGTCTTTCCCTGGAGCAGAACAGCATGTGGAGTTGCTTCAGAACTGTTTACCTAGATATTTTGAGAATTCTATTAAGCAATATCAAATTTTATAGATGTCAATTTTTATTGACTATTGATTAAAGGCTTATGATGTTGAAGTATACATACTTAGTATGTTGATATGTGGCTTTGTTTAATATATTAAGTCTGAAATGATTCATTTCTATTTAACTAGTTTGAGAATTATTATTTTGTTATATTTAAAAAAGACATGATTTAGACCCCCTTCCAGGGCTGTGGGTTGTGTGATCAGGTTTAATTGTTTTAATCCATCTTTAGTGTTGCTGAAAGTCAACAGGTTCTTTTAATCATGAAGATGCTGATAGCACTTGCATGTGCTAACTTGTTTTATGCTTGTATTAGTGGTGGCAATATCTTTGATTAATCCCTACATCTGAGTTGGGTTAAATTTGAGGAAGAATCAAGGTGTCACTTGGCTAACAGTTTTCACCTACGTAGTGTTCATTGTTCACTTAAACTCAGTGGCCTGATAGAGGTGGAATAGTAACTTTTGAAAAAATTGTTTTATGGACTTAATTATTTTATGTGTTATATTTACTGATATGAGTGTCTTGTTCACATGTGTCTTTGCATCACAGCAAACGTGGTGCCTAGGTCAGAAGAGGGCTTCAGATCTCATGGAACTGGAATTATAGACTCTTGTGATTTGCTATGTGGTTGCTGGGAGTTGAACTCATATGGTCTTTAAGAACAAGTGGTCCTAACTGCTGAAGCATCTCTCCATGCCCAGTTTAATTCTTAGTAATAATGGGATCAATATATATATATATATATATTGTGTGTGTGTGTGTGTGTGTGTGTGTGTGTGTGTGTGTGTAGTCTCTTTTTTGGCCTTTGTACTTACATTTGTAATATTTATTGACACTAAAAGATTACCATTTAAAGTCTGGCTTTGGAATTAGTATTATCTCTGAGTTTGTGATCTACCTTTATATTTAACTTTTAGATGGAATGTTGTCAGACTCACAGATCTCACCTCATTTAATAGCTGATTTTTAAAGATGAATGCTCTCTGACTCAAAAGTTTCTTTTAACTCTAGTGACAGACTGGATATTGGAAAGAGACCCACATGAAGAGATACTGAAAGCATTTAAACTATTTGATGATGATGATTCGGGTAAAATAAGCTTGAGGAATTTGCGACGCGTTGCCAGAGAATTGGGTGAAAATATGAGTGATGAAGAACTTCGAGCTATGATCGAAGAATTTGATAAAGATGGCGATGGAGAAAGTAAGTTTTGCCTTACTTTTTTTCTAAAATCTGTTGAGTTTTCAAGACTCCAAGCAAATTTTCTCTCCCTTCTCCCCCACATTTTCTTTCTCTTTTGTTTTTGAAGATGAGCCTCATGTTGCCTTGAACTTATTTCAAGTTTGATCTTGAACTGATAATCCTTTTGCCTCAGCCTCCTGAATAGATGGGAGTTCAATTGGGTGCCAAACTCTGAGCTTCTATTTATACTGAAGCAGATCTTTAAAACAGCTATGCAAGTTATGATATGAAATATTACACATAACTTCTCTGAAGATGAAATAATACCAAAATGTAGCTGCTTACTAAAATTTCAGACTTTCATGCTTTCCCTCTCAACCTGCTTGTACTTTGAACTATTACTAAATTAGTTGATTTTCTTTCAATCAGTTCTAATTTTTTTGTAAACATTTTTTCCTGCTACTCTGATTCAGGCCCTGATTTCTATTTAAAATATTACTGAATTCTTTCCCTGACTGACTATGAGGTGCAGTGCTCAGTGTGTCTCCCACAGACACATAGGTGTATCTTATAGTCTTCCCATTGCCTTCTGGACTTAGAAGTCTCCAATCTGTTTCTTCGTTCTACTGCTAATATTCTTTCCTTAAACTGCAATATAAGGTTGTCGTTTCTGTGTTCAGACACTGATGAGAAGAGCCTTTACTACCTGCTGAGTAAAGTGCAAAGCTCCCCTATGCCAATCCTGCACTTAGTACCTGGTTTATTTCTGCTGCTTTCTTCTTTCGTACTAGCTCTTGCATACAGAACACTGTATACTGAAGGCAGTTTGTGTTTGCATTTCGTCATGCTGCTTATTCATCTTTAGGGCTAGTTGCCCGTTTGTCTCTTGAAGTGTTACCCACTTTCCCAACCAAGTCCATCTGAAGCACCATCTTTTTTCAAAAACCTCTACAAGGGTGCCTGTGGTTGGTGAGGGTTCCACTGAGGCTTCTAGCATTTAGAGGAGCAAATGGCTTTGATACTTTAATATATTTAATATGGATCATCTTGGCTGCAAACCAAGTTTTGTATTTTTTGCATTTTAAACTGCTGAAGATAAAAATACTTGCCTTTTTGTGACCTTTAATAACTCATTTGCTCTTATAAATGTTTAATGCTATCCAGTTTTTAAGAATAACTGTTTTTCAACTTTATGGGCTTAAAGTAATAAAGACTGAATGAGGATTTGAAGATAAATAATATATACTACAAAATAGACATAAGTACATAGGTATATCTAATAATATAGAAGGAATAGCACCCTAGTCTCTCAATATAAGTATAAATAATATAAAACAAAATGTGGTATGTGCTTTTATAAAGATGAATGCAGCATTCAGAAGCCATAGTAGACCGCTTTTTAAATAATGATGATTGGTGTCTTTGTGTTACTATGGCTTTGATAAAACACCATGACCAAAAGCAACTTGGGGAGGAAAGTATTTGTTTGACCTGCATACCTGAGTTATGACTCAGTCCATTGAGGGAAGCCAAGGCAGGAACTCAGACCAGACAGGAACCTGGAGGCAGGAGCTGATGCAGAGGGCATGGAGGACTACTTTCCAGAGGGAAGAACAGGCCACAGTCACAATCTGAACAAGCAAAACGAAACTCTCAACCATGTGAGTAACTCAGTATCCAATGTCTGGAATCCATCTGCTTACAACCTTCTGGGTCCCTCCAAAGGGCATGGATCACTTCTTTGGCTCTATCATCTGTAGCCACACAGATTGTCTCCTAAGCTCAAGCCAGTTCCACTCTAAGGCTGCTACTGCTCTTGGTGGTCATCCTGTGATACTGGCATCTTCAGACCTCTGGGGTCTTTTTCTGCATTGGGCTGCACATCACCAATTGCCTCTCCTGGCTGTCTTCAGGGACTCCAGCTCTGCCACAATGCCAATCCTCTACTGCTCTCCATGTCCCCCTTCATGCCTTCAAAATCTGTACCACCTGGGTGATCTTACATTGGTAAGCACTAGGTACAGACTTGGCCACCTCTGGACCACAGCTTCTGTGTGTTAACTCTGAGAAAACTTTCTAGAACACTTCACTTCAGCTATGCTGGACTCTTCTTAATCCAACTAAGCTGATCAGCATCCATTGTCCCAGAAGAGCAGAGGTTTCACTAAAGTGCGTTTAGTGGTTTCACTTTAGTGGTTTTGGTATCTTGTTGATCACAGCTGATTCTTCAGCCCAATGTAACCAGAACCACATATTCTTAACTCAAAATATTCAGCGACCTCAATAGAATCTTTAAGTGATTCTCAAACTTCCCTCTGGAAGTTCACAAGCCAGGCCTTCATCCTCTGCTTGCCTTCCAGCCTCCCACAGAACAGCTCACCAAGCTTTGAACACTCAACGGCTTTTCTAGACCAAAGTTCCAAAGTCCTTCCACTGTTCTCCCCAAAGCAATGTGGTCAGATCTCTCATAGTAATACTGTATTCGCTTGGTACCAATTTCTGTCTTAGGGTTACTCTTGCTGTGATGAAACAGCATGACATAAAGCAACTTGGGGAGGAATTTAGCTTACATATTTTGAGTCATAGTCCATTGAAGGAAGCCAAGGCAGGAACTCAAAAAGGGCAGGAGCCTGTGCAGAGGCCATGAAAGATTGCTGCTTATTGGTTTGTTTCTCATGCTTGCTCAGCCTGTTTTCTTATAAAATCCATGACCACCATCCTAGAGGTAGCACCACCCACAATGAGCTAGACCCTACCTCCCATCAGTCAGTAATTAAGAAATGCCTATAGCCCAATATTATGGAGGTATCTTCTCAATCATGGTTTTCTCCTCTTAAATGACTCTATCCTGTGTCAAGTTGACATAAAACCAGCCAGCCCAGTAAACATTGTTTAGCAGCTCCTATATAGAAACAAACATAGTTTTTAGCTTATAAACTATATAACTCAGTTTTCATAATCACTTTTTAAAATGGATATAGGGTTATAGCTATATACACATAATATAGATGCATATATAGTAGATAGATGCATAGTAGATGAAGAGGGGCTAAGACCCAAGTTATCACAGAGCTAACTTGATGGCTGTGTGATACCAGAACTTAAACTCGGTTTTCCAAATGGCAGAGATACTGTATTGTTCGAGATAGAAAGTAACATGTTAACTAGACCTCCTGTTATGGAAAGCAGTGTATTAATGTATTGACTGGCACTTCTTTTTTTTTTTTATTCATTTATTTAGTTCATAAATAAAGTCATGCACATTTATGATACAGAATACAGTATGCTCACAATGGCATGGCTAAATTAAACCAATTAACATGTTATATCACACATATTCATCATTTTGTTTTGAGAACACTTAAAGTATACTATCTCACAACTTTTAAAATATAGCATATTGTTATCAACCATATTTATCATGCTCTCAGTAGACCTCAAGACTTCACAGAGTCCATGCCTCTAGTCCAACTGCAGTTTTATATCCTTAAACCAATCATTTCCCCATTGTTAAAAGTCCCACATTGAAGCCTAATAGCCATAATTCTGCTCTCTGTTCCCATAAGTTCATCATTTCTAGGTTACACATAAAATTGAAATTGTGTGACATTTGTCTTCCAGTGTGTCACTTATGTTTTTTTGGCAAGCATATAACTTTACTACTTACTAAAGATGAAATCAAATTTGCATGCACAGGTAAGCACTCACTGAAACACCTTGGATTCATCACATATTTGAGTTTCAAAAAAAATAAAAAGCAAAATCCCAGAAAACAGCACAGTTCTGTTACTCTTGTGGTACTTGGCACCATTTTTTCTTTTTTAAATTAGCTTCTTAGTCATTATCTGGGAGGAAACCATTCTGAGCAACATCATTAAAAACAGCTCTGATAAAAACAAACAACAACAACAAAAAAAATAAAAAGCAAAATCCCAGAAAACAGCACAGTTCTGTTACTCTTGTG